GCTTGTAATTTTTAAATGTTTAAAAATTAAATTCAAACTCAAAAAAAAAAAAAAAAAAGTTGCGCTCTTAACATGGTTTTGGAAATATCTAAATATCAGTTGTGCAGAATGTCGATTAATAATTTTATTTTTTGTATGCAGTACATTGATTGTAAAAATTAAGTAATAAAGAAGGCACCTTTTTATAGGTATTATTTCCCTTTCAGTTTGCTAGTTTTTACTTTTTTCATTTTCATCAAATTTCACTTTCTTTTTGCAAGTTTATATTATACTAAAGAAGTTTATAAAATAATAAAAACTGCTAAAACTTTCAAACCACCAAACAAATTTTATCTCTACATGCTGATATTCAATCGTGTGTATATATATATATATATATATATATATATATATATATATATATATATATATATATATATATATATATATATATATTTATCTTTTATATATATTTTTATTTGTCATTATTAATATAAATTTGTACATTTTACCGTGAAATATATGACTGAAGCAAGTAGAAGACAATAGTCTTATCATCTTGCCCCATTTTTAATAATTCACTTTTTCATGAAATTCTATAATAGAATTTCATGAAAAAGTGAAGAAAAAAAAAATTTAAATTGAAAATAAAAAAGTTCATTATTTGTACAAGAAAATAAATAAATAAATCAAAAAAATTAATCAGAAAATGAATAAATTAATCAAGTATTAAAAAAAGTTGATTTACTTCTGGACAAAACAAGTGCAACTCCACAAAATGTTGACCAAGCTGTATTTTGCTATCAATACTTTGCAGCAAATCCTTTGTTGTTGATCACAGCCTTGCATCTTCAAAGCATAAATTTGATTAGATGATCAATGAAACTTTGTGGAATTGCTGCCCAGGCCTTTTGGATTTGTTTAAACAGTTGATCCTTATTACGAACACCTTCACGATTAATTCTGCGGTTGACGATCTCCCACAGGTTCTTGATAGGGTTGAGATCCGGAGATTGAGGCGGCCAATCCATCACCGATAGGTGGTTGTCTTGAAACCACTGCTTGACTACTTTTGCAGTTTGTTTTGGATCGTTGTCTTGCTGAAAAACCCATTTTATTGGCATATTCCATTCAGCATGAGGTAACATAACATCTTCAGGACATTTTTATACATGAAACTGTCCATTATTCCATCAATTCAATGTATTGGACCTAGACCGTTACCAGAAAAACACCCCCAGACCATTACATTGCCTCCACCATGCTTCACGGTCTTATAGCAGTAACATAAATCGAGTTGTTTTCTGGCCGGTCGAGGTACACAGCAAATGCCATCGCTCCCAATGATGTTGAACTTTGATTCATCACTGAACAGGACAGTTCGCCATTTCTGCACATTCCAGTCAATATGAGATGTAGCAAACAGGAGTCTTTTTTTTTGGTTCTTTAGTGAAATCAGCGGTTTCTTTGCAGGGCATCGAGAAAACAATCAGGCTTCAACAGCACATTGTCTGATTGTTCGGTCCGATACAGGCAGATCTAATTGTTTTTGTATCTTGAATGATGATATCCAGGGATCCTTCTTGACGGATCTGACAATCATAGAATCCTATCTAGAAGTGGTGGAATGCGGTCTTCCGCCTTTATCACCTTTGTTATCTGCTGCCAACTTCCCCGTAGAACGATATTTGGAACATAGTCTTGATACGGTCCATTTTTTCACGTGATATTTATCATAAATACTTTTTTGTGACATTCAACTTACGTAATCGCCAATAATTTTCTTTCTTAGTTCCAATCCAAGACTGTCGGGAGCCATTTTTGCACTTGAAGTCATAAAAATAATAAAAATAAATAATCACGCTTCTCAAGGCTTACCGTGTTACATTTACCTTGTGATGATACAATAATGCTCTGTGGAACACAACGTCTTGGATGTGGACTGTATTGATAATGAAACACTTGTTGCATTTCACTTCTTGTATTGATGTTCTTCGATAAAACACTTTGATAAAACTCACTTCGATAAACTGTCTTGATAATACTGACTGATTGACTTCCATATACTGACTGAATTGCATGTCGGTTTACATGTCTCTTATATAGTAAATGAACTTGTGTGAACCTGTTCTGGTAGATTCTAGATGCTTCTTTTCGATGCTTCTGGATGCGTCTGGATGCTTCTGAGTGTTTCTGCATACTTCTGGATGCTTCCAGATGCTTCTTCTGGAAACATCTGGAAGCTTCTGCATGCCTCTGGAAACTTCTGGATACTTCCTTTAATTATTAAAAAACTTTGGTGATGTTGACACGGACCAGACCTAAAACAAACCAAAAAAGTTGCACTTATTTTGTCCGCTGCAAAATGACACTTGTCAACAAAATTCTGCCTGTGTGGTGTCACTTGTCAGCTGATTGCTCATGTCATGACATGCTATGACTCCAGACTCCTGAACTGTTTGCTGTGGTAGTATAATTCGTTTTGTTTTTAGGACATGTAAAATTAGGAACACTTTTTAGTTCGATGTTGGTTGCAAATGCTTTGTCCAATACTGTGTGTATATATATATATATATATATATATATATATATATATATATATATATATATATATATATATATATATATATATATATATATATATATATATATATATATATATATATATATATATATATATATGTATATATATATTCACTCAAGAAATGTGGACACCATGAATTGACATTTGGGATTAACAAAAATGCTCTGTTGATGACTCAATAAGTAAAAACAGACAACAAATCACATTGTATTTTTTATTATGCATAAAATTACTTGATTTTTTTAACAGCTTAAACTGATAAGGAAGAAGTGACATTTTATATTCAAAACTGAACTTATTTAAGATTTAAAAACTCTGAACAAAATAACTTTTTTTTTATCTTTAGTTAAGTTTTAATTGAATACCTTGAAATAATAAATACAAATGTCCACTTTTGAAAAAAAAAATTTTAATGTTATTATTCAGTTGTAAGTATTTATATATACTGGAATAAAATCATTTAGTATATAAAGTTACAGCAGTATTATTATTTTTTAGTATTTAAAAATATTAATACATATTAGTGGAACCATAATATTAAGTTTAAATGCTCTTCTAAAAAATAATTTGTGACATTTTTTTTATTTATTTAGATTCACATCCAACATAGCTGCAAGCAACCACTATGAACTATGCTCTTTCTCTTCTAAACAAGGTCCACAAACGCATTGTAAATGTAATTGTACCCACTCTAATATAGCAGATAGAGTGGGTTCAATTACATTTGCAATGGGTTTTTGGACCTTGTTTAGAAGAAAAAGAGCATCATTAGAAGAACCGGCCCAAATATGACAACAGTATTCCATAAAGGGACAAATAAGAGATTTGTAGAGGTAGAGAATGGAATCAAGTGTAAGAAAATGGTGAGCATGATAAAGATAAGCAACTTTAGCAGATGCTAATTTAGCAATCAATTGTATATATAGTTTCTATGAAAGGTCAAGAGTAAACAATAATCCAAGAAGACATAAAGAAGAGGTCTCAGTGAGAGGGTTGCCATTCATTAATATAAGAATGTTAACAGTATTGCTATAGTTGTTTGCAGTAAAAAAATGAGTTTTGTTGAAATTAAAAAATGGGTCATCAGCAAATGGAGCCACTTAAAAGTTTTTCAGAAAGATCATAAATGCAGATAAGAAACAAAACAGGACCAAGGATAAAACCTTGTGGTACCCTAGAAGTTACTGGAAATAAAGAAGAGTGTTTGCCTTCAAGAATGACTTTAATAAAGCGATTAAAATAAAAAGATTTAATATTCTCAAAAAATTTTCTAGATACACCATATAAAGCAAGCTTATGGAGAAGACAAGTATGCCAAACTTTGTCAAAAGCTTTAGATATGCCAAGAGCAACAGCCTTAGCCTAACTGGCTCCATCTAATGCACAACAAAACTGTTAGAATACTATATTTTATCTACTTAAAAACCTTATTTTACTTACCTTGCTTGATAAGTATATATTATGTCACTTCACCTTGCTATTTAAAGTGTTAAGTAGATATTATATTTCACTTAACCTTGCTATTTAAAATGATAAATAGATAATCAAAATGATAAGTAGATATTGAAAATATTTATGAGATATTACCTAATAAGTCAATTAATAAATATTTGAGGGTTGTTTTCTCATAAAATAAAACAAAAAATTGCTTTTGTTTTTAGTTATTTATTAACCTTGTTTTGTGATTTGCAAAACACAGATTCTGATTTTTTTAATTTTAATTTTTCAAAAACAGAATGCAAAAAATAAAAAGTAAGAACTTAAAAAACTTAACTCAAACACTAGTACATTAAAATGTTTAAATACTTATTATTTTTTTTAATTTCAAGAAATTTTACCATTGAGATATTGCATTAAGTTTATTCAAAACACCTTTAAAATAAATTTTTACGGTTAAAAAAAAAAGAAAAATTTGTGAGAAAGCATAAACTGTTGTGATTTGCAGTTTCAACTTAACCAATCTATTAATAATAGCATTGAATGCACAGAAATATAATTTACAATATATTGCATACAAATATCATATATAATTTTATTTACAGTGCTATGTCAATTTTATTTATTTATTTATTTTTTTAATTATTCACCTCCCCAAGGCCCGAGGGGGCCACTACAGTCGAGGAGGCTACTCATTTTTTTGTTTTTGTTTTTATTTTTATTTTTTTTTGTTGTAAATCGTGGTACAAACCTCTCTCAATTCTTTAACTCCGAAACACGAACCTTGACAAGCAAGGCCGCTGCGCGGAGAAATTAAGTTGAGAGAATTATTTCATGATATGTAAGGTTAATAGCATGTCATGGTATACACATAAATGCAATCTAATCACATAACAAGCACATGAACATTATACATCACTGGTTAAATAAAAACAATGATTACAAATAAAGATGTACCTGCTTGAAGAGTTAAAAAAAAACTTAAAAAAACTAAAGATACCTCTTAATTTAAATTGGTGAATATCTTTAACAGCTAAAAACAAAAATGATCCAGTAATAACAATTTTTTTACTCAATCACTATTTTTTATTCATTTAACTTTAAGAAATTCAGGTTTAAGAAATAAACCAAAAACAAAAAAATATATAGGCTAATATACAGTTATACAATTATTTGCATGAGTAAACAAATACTTTTATTAAAAAAAAAATATTTAAAATAAAAAGTAATCATTTCTCTATTTTATTTGTTAAAGTTAATATATTATATTAATAATGGTAAATTTTTAATTTCTGTTGGTTTTATTGACATAGAGTGGTTTTGAAATTTTGAAATTTCTGTGTACCATTGTGAAAGTCAATAGTGACATTTTGAAGATTTTATTGCCAGATTGCTGTAATAAAATTCTTTCCTTTGTATGCAGCTTGCGCTTTATTCTGATTAAAAAATTTGAAATTCCTGGCATAATTAACTAGCAAGTTAGCATAATTAACTGAATAGTAGCAACATTCTATAACAAATTTAAAGAGTCAGTGATGGCTTTTTTCCTTAATACTAGCTGAATTGTGAATTACTCATTTATATTTATAATGTGAATAATCAATTAATTACCACTTCCAAACTTTTTAATTTTTTTAATTATAGCATAGCTCTTTTATCTGGTTTTGTGGCGTTAGAATAATAGGGTTCTATCTCCATTTTTTAACATTGCGAGAATTTAACTTTCGATTTTTAACTATTTAAATGTCTTACAGTTGTTGTTGTTTATATTGATAAAATATATGTTTTTTATGTAATTTATGTTTTATAATTAATCTTACATTATTAATTTCATAATCTTTAAAATTGCTTGACTACAAATTAATTGTTAATTCCAACTTTATTAAATAAGGTTGAAATTGACAATGAAAAAACAAAAACTAACAATTTTCAAAGTTATATAAACAATAATAACAAGATTAATATATTAAAATTATATAATTTTAAACACAAAAATAATATTATAATTAAAAACAGAAAATTAAATATTTTTACCATGAAAATTTGGAGATAGAACCTCATTATTTTCATCTATGCTATTTTGTTTTATACCAATTTATTTTACTTAATAAATAATAAATAATGTGTATTCTAAGCAATAAATTTAACAAATTTGATATTTTGATATTTTAATTTAACGAATTTAACAAATTTTTACTTTTAATTTTAAAAATTTAAGAGTGTATAGCAAATTTTGTTAAATTCTCTTAACAGTACAAAAGGGAGATTAAACCCTATTACTCTAACGTCACGTTTTGTCAAAAATACCAAGAAAAACTTCAGATTAAGGCAGATGTTGCATTTGTTGTAGAAACAATCATTTAATGAGTACAAAAAAAATTCTAAACATTTTAGTTTCAATTTTAGAAAACAGCAGTTGATCAACTTTCACTAAGGAATCCAAATCAAATTGAATGTTATCATTGCAAACAAAAACATAAATGTTTAAAAAAATGCAAAAATATGCATCAAAGGACAAAACAGAGCTGTAAAGCCCAAGTGAAATAAGGAAAAAATTAGGAAGAAAAGATAAAAAAGTTAAATAGATATTTTGAACAGATGTTTAGAACAAAACAAAGACACAATAGTAAAGCGTATAGTAAAAAATAATAAAAAAATAATGATAATATAGACATCACGCATACAATATAAATGATAAACTCAGACTCCTAAGGGAAAATCACGACTAACATGCAAGATCTATAAGAAATAAAATATACAAACCAAATGGTTCTGCCTTATCTTTGGGAGAGGTAATAAGATCAGTCCCATGAATGAGTGATGGAATGTTAGACCTATCCTTGTCAATGACGCTTTTGAAGATTTTCCATCAGGGTTAGGGTTAGGGAAATCGGAAATTGCAATTAAAAGAGTGCAGTCTTGAGAAAAAGAAGAACAATAAAGAACAAAGTGAAAGGTGATAAAGTGAGGAAGTGCTAAGTTGAAGCACATAAAAGAATGGTCAAAAGATTCGAACCCAATTTCACGACAAGTCTCTAGAGCCTAACATTTTTAATAAGATACAGGATTTAGTGAACTGAGAATAATCCAGCTTAGCATCAAATAACATCTTTTTACATTTATCTCTTACAATAAAAAATAGCTGTTTGTTCTTAAAAGAGTTGTTCTTTTGAAAAAGATGAAAAAAAAAATTATGATTAGATGTAGAAGCTGTAAAAGAAGGTGAAAATCATGGAGTAGAAACCAATGAGAAGAAGTACAAACATCCATTCCTGCCTGAATCCAGGAGGTTACATAGGAAGCGTATTATTTAAATGAGAGAAAAAAGACATCAGCCCAAGGACTGTCACAAAGAAAATTACAAAAAGAATCCCAATAAGCTTTAGGGTAGTAGTAAGTAGTGTGATGATAGGATGAGTTCAAAAAGGAAGTACTAGATATAAGATTTATTAAAATCATTACATGGTTGCAATCATCTAAAGAAGACAAAAAGAAACTGAACACAAGATAAGGTCAGAGAAAAAACACAAATCAAGGAGGAGATAGAGCATTAGAGAGAGCATGGCATCCTAAACAACTGACATGGAATCCCAGTCAACTTTAGGGTAGTAGTAAGTAGTGCAATGATAGGATGAGTCTGAAAAGGAAATATGAGATAAAAGATTTAAAAAAATCATTGCATGGTCAGAACCACCTAAGGGAGAAAAAAGAGAAACTGAACACAAGTTAGAATCAGAGACTAGACATAAATCAAAAGAGTGAAGGTAAATGATTAGGGTTGTCAGGAAAACCAGTCACAAAGTTAACTATTTGAGTAAGTGATTGATAAATGCAGAAGTTATAGGCGCTAATGCCAGCAGGGTCAGTGGCGATAGAGCCAAGCTGTTCAGTGTGATGAGCATTAAAGTCACAAATAACAACAAAATTGGCAGAGGGGTAAAGAGAGAGAGCAGGATCAATTTGATCAAAAATTTTATCTAAAAGTGTGGAGAACAATAAAGAACAAAGTAAAAGGTGATAGAGCGAGGAGATGCTAAGCAGAAGCTCATAAAAGAATGGTCAAAAGATTCAAACCCAATTTCACAACAAATAGATGAATTGATGTATATGTATACCCCCAAGCCAAGCATGTGACTATTGAGTCTTTGCGAATCAAAGGATAGTACCCACCAACACTTAAATCTGAAAAAGGAATGACAGAATTCCTTCTTTAGATTTAAGAACCTTACCTCTTGCAAAATTCACCAGAAGTCTGGTGAATTTTGCAAGAGGTAAGATTCAACTGATGGAAGGTTGCTTCGCACACCACAAATACTTGTAAAAGATATGTTAAAACAGTTAGATGGTGGGGATGGCTTATTATGTTTAATATTTTGAGTTATTTTTGGCATGATTTAAGTTAAAGAGAACTTAAGTCATTCATAAATATAGCACAGCTTCCTAAGCAATGAACTGTGCAATTATCTCAGTCCTGTTATTTAACCTTAAATTGTAACATTAAGCTCCTTATGTGGCCTCGACAATGCGCACCAAAAGCATTAACAGGGACACCATCCATGCGCAATATGACACTGTTAATATTCTGATATTTTGCAGCTGATGATGGAATCAGTCTCTCTGAAAGCTACCACAGAATTTGGGAAACCTTACTACCAGTTGACCATTAAACTGAATTTTCAAACTATACCATCATTAGGAGATAACAGGAAGAGTTGCTTATATCATAGCCACTATCAAGGAGGCACAAGCAAAAACCCTTCATCATCCAATATAACACAGAAACAATGTAACACAGATTTACATCTATGTGAGCCTAATAGATAAAGATGGGGTTCGAGGCTGGTTAAAAAAATTTTTCTGCTTACCCTAAAGTCTTTGCCTAGGAGGTATCCTACAAAACAGTAGCTAGTTGCAGGTAACATCTGCTTAAGATGGGTAGAGGAGAGTGGGGAACCATGGCAACACGAAACAACATGAAACAACAACCATGAACAACATGAAACAACATAAAACAACAACCATGGGCAACATGAAACAAAGCAACTATATGGTGATAAAAGTATTGTGCTATACCTTTTTGAGCTGTAATCAGGTACTACTAGATGTATTATTTAATGCATAATTCAAATCTGAACATTACAATTATATTGCGAGAAGTTCAAATTTGTATTTTTTCAGTTCCAAAGTTAATTATAAATTTTTAGAATTGTTACTTTTTATGGTATTTTATTCACTGTATTCTTTGGAAAGTGCCTCTATTTTGTAAATTATATTTCATGAGCTCTTCAGTGTGGCAAAGACAAATAAAATAGTTTTTTTGAAAAACAAAAACTACTCATCTAATTCTACATAGATGAGTATTTGACTTTATGAAAATCCCAGAAATTTTTTTTCTATGACAATCCCAGAAAATCCCGGAAAATTATTTGATCGCATTTAACTGACAAAAGGAATTTAGATTATATTAAAACGGAATTTAGATTATTTAACTTTTTACAAAAAGGAATTTCTAATACTCGAAAAAGTTTGAATGAATTAAAAAGCAAAAAAAAAAAAAAAGAAAAAAAATTGTTATGAAAATTGATCTCGTGAAAATTTTAATTATAGAAAACATATTTGTTTAAATGCAAAAGTTGTCGTATATAAAATTTTATGTAAAAATTTATTAATTTTTTTTCTAATTAATATCAAAAAACTCCGGAAATTTCTTGAAAAATAAAAAAGGTGTTTTAAGTGAATTTCCGAAATTCTGGGAATTTCTGGAAAAAGCTCATCTATGATTCTATCAAAATGTATGGGGTACCATGAAACAGTTTTAGTGGGGTACCATGAAACTTTATTAATGTACTATTTTGTAAATTACTTAATAGTTAAGCATACTGTAATAATTCCCGGCAGGAAATATTGACTTCTATACTTTAATGTTTCACCTAACTTGGTAAAAAATTTGATGGACCATTAAATAAAGTTTATGAAGTAAATATAAATGTTGTTGTTCAGTATTTATGGATGTAATATAATAATGTACTTGTG